TAATAACCTTTCCAAGCTATCTGTATTTTAAAAGTTGTTTTAATTTATAATTAAACAGACTAGATAACATTGAGTTCCCTGTGTTAAAGCTGCCAGTCCTACATTCTGGAATCACACTGATGATCAGCAAAAAAAAAATTTATTATTGGATTTCTAAATAGGATTCAAAGCCAAAAGAGGGCACTGAAAATGATTCCTCTCATTGTAATGCTAATAACATCTCATGAATTGATGCAAAAGACAGTATTAAATGCTAGGGATGTATTACAGAACTACCATGAATATAACTTCTGTTATCCTCCACTATCATCAGGGCTCATCAGAAAGCATTCTAGAGAGGCTTTGCAAATTTTTCTTACTGATTATGCCAGCACTCTGAGACTGAAAGAAATATTGTATTGTCAATTGGATGACAGCTTTCCAAAGGTCTACACTCAAATTTAAAAGTTTTAGGCTTGGATCTCTCTGACTTCAATCATTCTTAGCTACCTAGCTGCCAGTGGAACACATTCAAGCAAACAAGCAGAAATCTCACATGGTCATAGAAAACTGGAACACCTACAATTGCATTTTGATTATCTTTGAAATACACACTCTCTGACTTTACTATCCTGACTATCTTGGGCTACTCAATTCTCTTAAAATACCTTGAAGAGGCTAGTTTTTACTTCTCTAGATTTTTTTATCACAAGTCAAGAAGGTCTGTTACTCACCTTTACTTGGTCTTCAATAGATAGCTCTCACTGCTTTTTTTAATATCTTTAATTTTCCAAATTCTAGGTGTCTCAAAGATAGGCAAAATAATCCAATATTGAAGGGACTGTCCTCAAATCTAGGGAAAACTCTTACTTAAATTTAACAACTCCTAGCAATTCGTCACCTTTCTTATCTGCTGACAGATTTCCCATCTGTCAGCAAGTTTTGTGTAATGACAGGCATGTATTTCCAAAAGCATGAAAGAAATAATGGATCTTCAATTCAGCTTGTAATTAAAATGCCACTTACATTTGAACTGGAATTCAGGATGCTCAGGTTCTATTCATGGCTGTAACAGAGAACCCAAAATGTGCACAGCCATGATTCCATTACTCAGGAAGGCATTTGGCAAGAAGAAAAGCCCTGGGAGGTGAGGTCATCAGAACCACAGAAAAGATTCTAATTCAAATTCAGTACTAACCAGAGGTTCAAAGAATCTAACGCTAGACTACATTCATCTGCAATGATGCAGCTGCTTTTCCGGTAAGCAACTCCTTCTTTATTTTGTTTAACTCTTCTCTAAAAAACTATGACAGTGTACACCTAGTTTCTGCTTTATCCAGGAAATCAATGACAATCATCTGAAATACAAGCATGTTAATGAAGAACTTAAAGATTTTTAAACTACCAGAGAAATCAACACTGCTTATTTTATGTTATTATCTTAATTCTTAGATTTTAAAGGCTTCCTATACCTCCTTCACTTTTAGTGATTTCCTCCTCTACTGCAATAAAAACATCATAATTCTACAAGTTTTTAAATAATTGCTGGTTACTTTAAGCTAGCGTGTCATTTATACTTAACAGAAAAAATCTTATGATCTTTTTTTTTTTTCTGTTTTCAATTAAGGCTAAATTTACAGAGCAGTCTCCAGAGGAAACCCCAGACTACTGATGACTTTACATTAATCTCCCACACAGCTTTTAGTACCTCTGTGTAGGCCGCATCCTGTCACCATTTAATTAAACAGGATTTTGCCTCCACCTCTATGTGCAGAACAATCAGGCTTTGCAAGTGTATTTTACATAAAGAAATTTTAGCATCAAACATAAAGATGACAAAACCATAGTTATTGTCCAAATTTATTCTAATTAATCTGTGAATCAAAAAGCGCAATTATATATTCATATTTGATGAAGAGGAGCAAGTGCTACTGATTCATGCATATATAATAAATGTAGCATCTCAAAAGAAACATTTAGGGCTAAGGATTTTTTCACACATTTTACTTTTGCAATTATAAAATCAGATTAGACCTTTGACCAAGGAAAATTACTAGGGTGACATCAAGTTTTACTACTGATTATTGAATATCTTGCTGTCATTCTCTCTCTATGTATATAAAAAAATGTGCTATTCACACCTGTATTTATGTTAATCAAGAAAAAGCTGAAAATTCTTTTCCCAGAGTTGTATAAAAGTTTCTATAATTTCATTGTCATAGAATCGCTTGGAAACCATGGTGCTGATTATTGTATAAGTTACTTGATACATTCTATAAGTTACTCTATAAGGTCTATCCAATGTTCTCCATCAATCATGCATGTGTCCAGTGGTGGTAATTTCAAAACACATTGTACTCAACTCTTCTGCCTAAGATAAGGAATATTTACAAAAACGATAGAAAACCTGAAAGAGAACTGTCCGACATTGTGGCAGACAAGGAATAGCAGAATATGTATGATTAATTGATCTTTTAGATAGTGACAGAGATTGTAATAAACACCTGTAAGCATCAGAAAGATGTAAACGTCTGGAAGAGAAAGGAGATATGAGGCAAAATGGAGTAACAGAAGAAAACTAAGGAATGAAAAGTTGCATCAAGGTTGCAGTCAGAGAGAGAGAACTCTCTCGAACTCTTCTGACAAAGTTGTCGCAGAAATTCAATTGCTCAAGGATAAAACTAGATAAAAGCAGCTGAGAATCCACAGTACTGATTTGTCTCCATTGAAAGTCTCAATTTTTGCATGTTCAATTAATTTCAGGTCACACATAGCTATCAAAAATTATCTTATCACCGTACATTTATTTTCTGCTAGAGGCATGCAGACATGTCTAACATGTTAGACCTGATAAGGCCACAGACTGTCACAATGAAACTTTTTATTGTAGCGTCTGTGAGACTCTGCAGCCACCTGTTCACACATTTCTCATCGTCAAACTGTTGCATTTAATCACCCTGTCACCTACACCAGAAAAAAGACTGGAGTTTCTTTTAAATTAAAGAAAATTATAGTTGAGAAGGGATGTGACAAGAGAGAACAAGATGGGACCATTACATAGCCATTACTTGAGATTGCACAGAAACTTATTGTGTTGAAAGTAATAGCAGTCAACCAGATCTTACTCTGTCACGTGGAGTAGATCCTCTGATAAGGCCTGCATTTTTACTTTGTACTCAGACATTCAAGCAACAGACCTATGAAAAAGGTCTCATAAAATTGGTTAACTGCTGGGAAAGAGGTAAAACCAGAGTCACAGCCTTTCATGGCTTGAGTCTTCTATTTTCTTTGCTGTAACAAGAACTGAAAATTATCTGGCCGTATATTTTTCCAAGATAATTTTGAAGTCCTTTCTTTTCAACTCCGTTTTATAGACATTATCTCTTTTAAAGAAGACCATTTTAAAGAAAGCAAAAATTATGGTACATTTAAGTTTCAAAAGGATCTGAGCCGTTTACTTTTCAGAGAACTAACATCGAGCCTTCATCTGAAGTGAAATGGGAAACTGTAACTAGGGTCTTTAAAAGAATCAGATTAAAGTTTGGAGGCTTAAACTAGAAACTGAAAAGAAAGTTGGTAGACGAGTGAATGTACTTAACAGGCTCTTCTCAGAAAGCACACATAATATAAAATATGTATGTGAAAATCTCTTTCTCTGCTTGACCATTTCAAAATATCATTTTGATTACAACTGTGAAGAAATCAACTTCCTCCTGTTTCCAAAAAATCCCATTTATTCCCCTGTGTTCCAATGTGGAACATTATTAATTGCCTGCTCTATGAATTTTCCTCTTAAATTTTTTAATGGGAATAAAAGCAACATCTCAATAAATTCAAATCTTACTTTCTGCATTTAAGCTTTCTTTTGAATAAAAGACTATATTTTTCAAATAAAAAAAATTAATCCAGAGTGAAGAGAAAAAGTAAGTTCCATCTGTAAGAATACAAAATATTTTTTTTCTCTATTACAGTTTCAACAAAAAATTATGTCATTTAATGAAACAACATTTTGATAAAATGTTGCATTGTTGTTGATAAAAGTGTTGCATTATAAAATGTTCATTCTATTCCAATAGTGTGTAGTCCTGCAAGTGCCTTATCACCACTATCTAAAATATACTGCATATATTTGGATATGATATTGTCCACTATTTAAACAACAACCCTTAAAGGTGTTAAATGTTCAAATTCCAAGGTGATATTTAGCATCTGCACTAACTGCATCATTTGCTAGTAATGTAAAATGTTACTGGAAATATGTTCAAAAGGTATAAAGTAAATTTATAATTCTAAATCTGTACTCACCCAATCAAGATAAATGAAAGTCTTACTTTGCATATGCTTATGTAGAAATATAACTTCATTAGTAAAGTTATGGTTACTAATGGTCTAACACAGATGAAAATTCTGCAGAGTCAAGTTGAAGAAATGCATATTACAAACAGATGACAATGGTCTAGAAAGGAGAAACTATTAGAATCCATTTTAGGTGGCAATGGCCACTTTTAGCCAGACCAAGAGTCTTAACTCATACTGGCCATAAGCAGGTACCTGACAAAAGAAACTACAGGACAGACATACTTGATATGCTTACCAAGCAGACCGTCCCAAATAACCTCCTAAAATCCATCAACTTTATTCTCAGAAGATTTCCTTAGCCGGGTATGGTTTAAGTTATAAATAGAATAAGGCTATAAAGTAGCATCCAATTTTATTATGAATTGTGTGTACTAATTCCTAGATTATATGATTAGATGATGTCTCCACACAGGATTGTACTGAAGCACGAGAGGTAAGGGATGCTGACAACAGCTTGATTTGCTACATAGCCCAGATCCTTTGCCTTCGTGCACCACCTTGTCGCTTCTGCTGATTTAGAGGAAGGAATGCAGAAAAAATATAGCCTGTAATCAGCCTTAGTAAAGACGATACAACAGTGATTGCACACACAGATCTGTAGAAAGATTGGATCACGTAAATGGTCAAAATTAATATGCTTCTATTTTGATTATCTCTCCCAGGTATGCAATGACAGCTCAGGTGGGAGGTACCATTGTGCACACAACCACACGAGGTGCCTTTGAGCTGCTGTGTGCTCTCCTTCAATGATTCACCATGTCTTTCCTGGCCAAGACAACTTGGATGGAACTGGGCTAAAGGCTGGATTCACCCACAGCTGCTGGATGGATCACCCTCTTGAAGTGATTCCTATCTTTCCCTTGGCTTTATGTGCCTGTGACAGTTCAGTAGGTTTCTGGATTGGTTTTGTAAGTTGCTGCTGCAGGGATGCTTGAAATGCAAATCAGAAAAAGTCCAAGACATCTTCAACAGTGAAGCTAATCTAAAGTGACAACTTCCAATGTGAAAAATCCTTGTAAGAAAGACACTATGTATTCTTCTAATTGGATAAGCTTTCAGATTTCTTTTGTCATCTCTAAATTGACATTAGTGTGAATGGTGTGTATTAAAGGTATGTATTAAAAGACTATTTTGTTATGCATTTCATTTCACACTGAATTTTCAATATCGAATCACTATTTTCAATTTTACACAATTTTCAGTAGTGTGTGGGCTTTGTTTTGCCCAAAGAAATATTTTAACAAAATAACTGCTTTACTGCTTAACTGCTCAAAAAAAGGCAATATGCGAGGAGTATAAACCTTTTAGAAACTGTTAACATAATAAGTTAGAACCCCAGGTACCAATATAGGTTAGGGGTGGATCTTCTGGGAAGTAGTACAGAGGAAAAGGATCTGGGAGACCTGATGGATGGCAGGATCTCCATGAGCCAGCACTGCGCCCTTGTTACCAAGAGGGCCAATGGGATCCTGGGCTGCATAGGGAGAAGTGTGGCCAGCAGGTCGAGGGAGGTCATTCTCCCCCTCTACTCTGCACTGGTGAGGCCACAACTGGAACACTGCATCCAGTTCTGGGCTCCCCAGTTCAAGAGAGACAGGGAACTACTGGAGAGAGTCCAACACATGGCAACCAAGATGATTAAAGGATTAGAGCACCTCCCTTATGAGAAAAGGCCCAAAGAGCTGGGGCTCTTTAGTCTCAAGAAGAGAAGACTGAGGGGAGACCTCACCTATGTTTACAAGTTCCTAAAGGGTGAGTTGAAGGAGGATGGAGCCGGACTCTTTACAGTGGTTTCCAGCAATAGGGCGAGGGGCAATGGGCACAAGCTGGAACATAAGAAGTTCCACTCAAAAATGAGAAAGAACTTCTTTACAGTGAGGGTGACAGAGCCCTGGTTGCCCAGGGAGGTTGTGGAGTCCCCTTCTCTGGAGATTTTCAAGACCCACCTTGATGCAGTCCTGAATAATGTGCTCTGGGCAATCCTGCTTAGCAGACGAGTTGAACTAGATGATCTCTAGAGGTCCCTTCCAACTCTGTTGAATCTGTGGATCTGTGAATCTGTGAATCTGTAATACCTACTCCATTTATGGTGTAGAAAGTAAAGCTGATCTTAATGAATTCACAGCTTGTCCTACGGCAGTAGACGTAGGCACCAATAAACATCTAAGCAGAAAAGTGAACAACAGACTAGGAAGAATCAGAAGAAGGAATAATTTAAAGAGATCACTTAGCAAATGACCAGTGTCTTTATGTACAACTATATCACCTATGAAAAAACAAAACAGTCTCTCCTATTCCGTTTAACACAAAAACACCAAATTACGTGAATACAAAAACAGAGAACATCGTGTAGTCACATTGAGAATTCCCTCTATTTTAAGGAATGCCTACAGGAATGTAATAATAATTGAAAATTAAAATAATGTTTTATTATAAAAATCCAACATAATCACCCAGTGACTCACTTGCCTATAGTAGTCTGGACAAACTGTGATTATGGGCTTAGAAAGTGTAGTAGGACACCAGACTGGCTGAACCGGGAACTGATGGAGATGAAATGCAAAAAGCAGAATTACAGAAGGTGGAAGAAGAAACACATTTCCAAGGAGGAACATGGAATATCCCCTGGCTTTTCAGGAATGGTATCAGTAAAGTCAGAGTGCAGCTGGAGATGAATCTGGCAATGGAGATGAGGGGCAACAAAAAGATACATCAAAGGCAAAAAGAAGAAAAAGGAAAATGTTGACATGCCACTGAATGGAGAGGGCAATCAAGTGATGAAGGACATGGGAAAGGATGAAGCACTCAACTCAAACCCTTTTATGCCTTGTTTTACTGGCAAGGTCTGCTCTCAGGCCTTGTCCAGAAGGAAAGTTTGGTGGAGTAGTAGGTACCACCCACCGTAGGAGAAGATCAATTTAGGTTCTGCTTAAGTAAATTGGTCATGTTCTTGTTCCTGGATCATGTGGGATGCATCCAATTGTGCTGACTAAGTTGGTCAATGCCATTGTGAAGCCATGTTATACTTATCAACTTTATCACAAAAGTTGTGGTGATCAGCAGGGGTCCCCAGTGACCTGAAAAGGTCTGATGGTAAGAACAACTTTAAAAGGGAAAGGAAGAGGACCTGGGGAACTACAGGCTGCTCCAGCCTTATCTTAGATCTTGGGAAAGGTATTGAACAAGATCTCTTGGAAGTAATTTCTAAGCATACGAAGGAGATCAGGAACACCCAGTGTAAATTTAGCAAGGGCAAATTGTATGTGATGAATTTGATTCCCTTTCATGAAGAAATTTCTGGCTCTCTGAAAGACAAGAGCAGAGCAGCAAGGTTTTTGACAGAATTTCACTGAAACCTTGTAGCTAGGCAGGAAAGATATGGACTAGATGAGTGGACTACAAGTCAGACAATAAACTGGTTGGACCATCAGGCTCAAAATGTAGTAGGCAAGTGGTTCCAAATCTAAGTAGCATCTAGGTAAGAACAGAGTTACCCAGGAGTTAATACTGGAGCCAAGGCTGATTAACACCTTCAAAACTATCTGGACAATAAGATGTACTGCACCCTCAGCAGGTTTGCAGATGACACCAGAATGGTCGGAGCACCTGACACATGGGAAAGCTGCCATCCACAGGGCCTTGGCAAGCTGAAGGAATGGCATGACAGGAATCATAGAAAGTTCAACAAAAGCAAAAAATAACCTCAATTCAGACTACAGTCTGCTGTTACCTGAATTTGAAAAGCTTATCTCAAACTTTATCTGCTAATTGTATAACCCTGAAGTCAAAGAGGGCCATACCAGTCGGTTGACAAGGGGAGCTTCTCCGCAGTTGGCCCAGCCTGCAACAGAGCAGCAGATCTTGGCATGCAGGGTAGTTTCCTGAAGCAGGGAAATGCTGGAGCAGTGGAGTGACCTGCTGGGAGACAGCAGATCTAGGGGAAGATGCTGACAAAGCTTGGGCATTGCCAAAGCAACTGCAACCATCCTCACACCTACAAAAAGCAGTCTCCAGAGTGGTGACCAGGAGCAACACCAACAGAGTGGCATGTTGGCCAGGGCATGGAACAGTTCATGCAGCAGTTCACATGGAAGGGCGTGCCGGAAGGGCGTAGTCACCCTATCAGCTGAAATGGTCTCTGCCATAATGGTTAATGGTGGGCACTCCCCTCAGAGTTAAAACCAGCATTTCCACAGGAAAACCCCTGAGATGTCTGATGTTTCCACCCAGACAGAACTGGTAAAAAAAAGGAGATTTCAGTACAGATGGTAGTTTGCAACGAGTGCCCTGACCTGTCTCCTGGAGAAACGGAAAGTACCTGCAAAAGATGTGCACAAGTTGATGATCTGTTGTGTCAGGTAGCTGAGTTGCAGGAAACAACCTTGAATGTATAGAAGTCAACTACGGTGATTGTGGAGCCTTATTGAATGTGTCTGGATCAAGGTCAGAAGGGTCCTTTCCAAGGGGTTTCTTACAGTAGGCATCTGCTACAGACCTCCAAACCAAGAAGCAAAGGCCAACAAGGCAATATTTGGGTCACTTAAGTAAGCTTTGGGTCAACAGAACATAGTTCTTATGGGTGCCTTCAACTACCCAGACATTTGTTGGAAAAACAGTATAGCAGCTCACATTATCCATCGAGTTCCTGGTTACCTAGAGGACTGCTTCCTTATACAAGTGTTAGATGTGCCAACTCAGATGGGATGGATTCCATGGAAAGTTTCTATAGAGGATAAAGGGGCTAGCAAGTGCTGGGAGTTTTTCAAGAACACTCTCCTGGAAGCACAAAACTAGTTCATCCACTTTAAAGGTAAGGAAAGTAGGCAGAGCAAGAGACCCCCTTGGCTTAACTGCAAGCTTCTGAGTCTGTTCAATATTTACTTCCAATTGCCTATTTTAAATAGTAGTTGTACATTTTTTCTAAAACTAGAAAATACATGCACACATATTCTCTTCATCTACAGTTTACAGTAATGTTTGTTTCCAGTCAATGCTATATAAATAATGATTTCAAAGAGCAAAGAGGTCATTTTTATTATTGAAAAATTACAAATTTTACCACTACTGCATACAATAGTAGCATTTGATCAAAATTCTGATTTTTAAAAAGGATTTCAGAGTGATTAATGCTGGACTGGACAATGCCTGCTGTCCTCCATAGTCTACCTGTGCATCAGACCTAAATCATCCCTTTAAAGTTAGGAATCCTGGCCTGTATCAAGAACAGTGTGGTGAGTAGGACCCAAGAGGTGATCATCCCCCTGTACTCGGCACTGGTGAGACCCCACCTCGAGTGCTGTGTCCAGTTTTGGGCCCCTGACCACAAAAAAGACATTGAGGTGCTGGAACGGGTCCAGAGAAGGGCAACGAAGCTTGTGAGGGGTCTGGAGAGTAAGTCTTATGAGGAGAGGCTGAGGGAGCTGGGGTTGTTCAGTCTGAGGAAGAGGAGACTGAGGGGAGACCTTATCGCTCTCTACGACTACCTGAATGGAGGGTGTAGAGAGGTGGGGGTCGGTCTCTTCTCCCAAGTTACAGATGATAGGACAAGGGGTAATGGGTTCAAGTTGCACCAGGGTAGGTTTAGACTGGACATTAGGAAAAAATTCTTCACAGAGAGTGGTAGGGCATTGGAATAGGCTGCCCAGGGAGGTGGTTGAGTCACCATCCCTGGCTGTGTTTAAGAACCGTTTAGATGTGGTGTTGGGGGATATGGTGTAGGGGAGTACATTAGAGTAGGGTGGATGGCTGGACTTGATGATCCCGAGGGTCTCTTCCAGCCTAGATAATTCTGTGATTCTGTGATTCTGTGAATAATTTAAAATAATATTATTCTTTGGGAAATGAGGCCGTGGAGATATATATGAGATTTGAAGTCTTCCACAGGTATTAAGAATTACCAGTATGCAAGCATTCTGGTATGGGACCTGCCGCCTTCACAGCTGTGTTATCCTTTTCAGCACCTAGTCAATGCAAATCTTGACCAACAGAACTATTAAGTTGTCTCTAAAATGATTCCAGAATACACATAGCAACATACAAATTGTTGACACTGGTCACCAGAACAGCAGACTCTCTTCAAAGTCAAAGCCTGTATGCCAGAAAACATTAAGGCCTCTAATATCCTCTT